CCCCCATGAAGATCAAGGTGATGCACCTTTTTTTTTTTTTTTTTTTTTTTTTTGTCCCTTAATATTAAAAAGTCTGGGCAACTCATCCTTGTTTTGCTAAATTTTCTTACAGATCCAATTCTGAGAAAGAATCTGGAAGCTTTACTGTTTGACATAGATTATTATTGTTATTAAACAAAATTATTTATTTTAATATATTGGTAACACTTTATTTTAAGAGCCAATTAACTAGTTAATTAACTCACTATTAACTAGTAGCTTATTAGCATGCATATTAATAGCATATTGGCTGTTTATTAGTATTTATAAAGCATATATTAACGCCTTGTTCTGCATGACCATATTCTAGATCCCTTAATCCTACATCATTCCTAAACTTAACAACTACCTTACTAACTATTAATAAGCAGTAATTAGGAGTTTAAGGCAAAATTTGTAGTTAATAGTGAGAATTGGTCCCCAAACTAAAGTGTGAACAATATATGTGTCACGTGTATGTTCCCGTTGAGTTCCTGTTTTCCTTATTTGGTCCTTCCAGTTCCTTTTCACATTATTAGTATCACCTGTTCCTTGTTATTAGTTATCCCCATCACCTGTCTGCCCCTCGTTATCTACCCTATTTAGTTCTAGCCCATTCAGTTCTCCCTTGTCTGGAATTGTATGTTTGTCAACTCTTTGTGCTATGTGTGATTCCCTGAAATAGCTAATTAAACTCCTTCGTTTTGTACTCCTGGTCTCCTCGTTCCTCGCTCTGTGCTCTTCACACTACCACCAACCGTGACAATATGTTATATAATATCTTATATTTTATTATTATCTTATTTCACTTTTACAATGTAGTAGTGGTACTATGCAAAAAAATAAAAAATAATGCAATGCAATGCAAAAACACAAAAAAATGTTTGTACTTGTATGACTGGTTTTATACACAAAGACAAACAGACATTTAATTCACATGCGTTGACTTAATAAACTGCTTTATTTGTTCCTTTTGGAATATTCTCTGTTCGTTTCAGTGATATTCATTTATATAGAGTGCTGCCCAGGCCTCAGTGTGAAACGCACTTCCTGTGTCCTCTATACTTTCTGCCAGAATGGTTACCAAGGTTACATCATTTACATCTCAGCTTTCTCTCGCTGACTCCCGGGTCCAATTACCCAACAGAGGAATCTTGTTATACACTTGATGTGTTTCCCTTTGGACGATTTTGTCTTGGACACCCCCATCCTGGATTGATTCCTGCTTATGTAATATATCATCCCACTGCTGTGAGGATACAGCGTTTAAAAGAAAAAAATGTGAAAAGTTTAAAATGACCCGGGAATCATGACAGAAATGTGTATTGTTCCTTTTTAGAAACTCTGAAAGTATTGAGTACTGTGGGTGTCTGCTAATAACCCGCGAGGTAGAAGCTGTCAGTACTTCTGGAGAACTTAAAGGGTTAGTTCACCCAAAAATGAAAATTCTGTCATTAATTACTCACCCTCATGTCGTTTCAAACCCGTAAGACCTTTGTTCATGTTTCTGGACTTGGGAACATTTCAGTTGTATTGCTGTCTATACAGGGTCAGACAGCTCTCAGATTCCATCAAAAATATCTTAATTTGTGTTCCGAAGATAAACGAAGGTCTTACGGGTTTGAAACGACATGAGGGTGAGTAATTAATGACAGAATTTTCATTTTTGGGTGAACTAACCCTTTAAGATGGATTGAGGGTCCCAGAGCTGTGAAAAATAAGAGAGAAAGAGACTTTAAACATGTCTTTGTTGTACACTTTACCTCAATTCATTAAAAACACGGGTCTATGGAATCTGCTCAGCTAATTTATAGCTGAGCTCATTTTTAAGCAACTACTCTGTTTCTAACAGCCTCCATTTGATGGCGAGGACGAGGATGAGCTGTTTCAGTCCATAATGGAGCACAACGTGTCCTACCCCAAATCCCTGTCTAAAGAAGCAGTGTCCATCTGTAAAGGGGTGAGTCCCGAGACATCAGCAGGAGCTGCTTTATTCCTCTAAATATCTATATGCCGTTGCTCATTGAATGAGAAATGAATAATGCAGAGGCTATATTGGAATTATTTTTCAGCTTGGATTAATAACTGGCGTACTTTAATATTGCTGTCAGCTCAAGCCATGGAATTATCACCCGCTATAATAGTTGAGTGGAAGATAATAATATTTCATTTCATTTGTCTTTTCATTCTGTTTGATTATGTTCCTCTGCGAATCAGAAAATTGTTTTTAATGATTCATGGTGGTGATTTAAATGTCAGTAAAGGCAGTGACGACACTTCATGATTACTAATGTGGAGGAGATCATTAGTTAATGTAGAATAGTTTCAAATGTCATTATGTATATCAGATGTTTTGGGCACTGTTTAATTTTTCTTAATTATTATAAATCACTGTTATTGGGTGTTAATAAGACTCTAATGTTAGTTATAGGAAAATGTTTTGTTTCACTTAAGTGATTTCAGCTCAAATTTAGCACAGCCAAATTGGAAAAACTTTGAATTGCACTAGTGTGTTTTAGTGGTTTCCATAGAATGAAAAATACATTATCATTATAAATATTTTATCTACCTACCCAGATGCTCTTTCATGATTAAATCTAGATGGGCTCTGGTTTAATAATCTCTCTCTTCTCGTCCACACGCACAGCTGATGACGAAGCATCCATCCAAGCGTCTAGGTTGCTGTCCAGAGGGTGAGCGAGATATAAAGGAGCAAGCTTTCTTCCGCAGAATCGACTGGGAACGGTTGGCCAACAGAGAGATCCAGCCTCCTTTCAAACCCAAAGTGGTGAGTGTGAATATGATGTGTTTGTACGTCTGTGACCTTTGCCAGCGCTGTTGGGGTTGATGACAACTCACTTCCTCAGGTCACAGTAGACCACACTGTATATTGTTTAGTTACTTGCATAACCCCTGCACTTTGATAATAGTTTGATGTGTCTAGTCTCAGCCTCAAATGACCATCTCACTGCTCATCTAATGCATTTTATACACTAAGATGGCTGAAGCTAGTGCATCCAATAATGGCTAGCTGCAGTGTTGCTTCCTAGTCATGGCCGTAACCAGGGTTTGAAAATTAGTGAGGTCTGGGGTGGGGTTAAGAATTGTGCTATAAAAAACCCCTATAAATACAACTCATTATATACACTAAACACTTTAAAAGAAACATACATGTAGATGTTTGTGAAATATGTTTTCTCTGTTTTTGAGGGATGAACATTGTTAAATTATACCAAATTTATTGCATCAAAATGTGTTAATACTTTACTATAGGTTAGGGATGGATAATTTTGTTTAGTTCTTTATTATTCATGCAACAATACATATTACTGTTATAGTTTTCATTAATAACCATATAGATGATAACTTTGTCTAGTGCTCTTATGAATGTTTTTAGCATAACTTTGTGAAAATGTAACTACTATACAGAATGAAATAGCATAGACTTCTTCATGGCAAATGTTTGCATATTTCATTTAATTTTGTAACCTACTTGTTCTACAGATCTGTGTACTAGTGTTAAATGCTACTGTTTTTGATAGCCAGTGTTGTGGAGTAGCTAGCTACAAGTAGCGACGCTACAAGCTTAACTACATTTTTCAGTAGCTTTACACTAGCGGTGCTACTTTTAAAACATTGTAGCTTTTCCCGTAGCTAACTACTTTTTCCAGCAAGTAGCGGTGTAGCGCAACCAAACGCTACATTCCGTTTTGCGTTCTGACGAGTCACGAGCCTGCATTGAAGCAGTGCAGCGTCTTCTGACTAGATCACAAACTAAATTTGTTCATTACCGCCATCTGTTGTGATATCACGCAT